GTAATATCAAGGAAGTTTCGCCATTTCCAATCAATTCATAATGTTGGCACCAATCACCATTCATGGCTCAAGATACGCAACAAAGAGTATAAGTGTACAATATTACTACTCACAGTGTGTTTGAACTCGCGGTGTCTCCTCAGCTACTTGACTTGCACAACACTTCACACACATACATTCGTTAAATCATTTGCTTCAATTTTACTCATTTCTTTCATTATTCACAACCTTCTTTAATGAGTTTCTAAGCATCATTTCACTCCTAAAAGGGTTTAAATACAGTTGGGATTGCATTTCGGAAGCCAGGGGTAGCAAGACAAAACAACACAAGTTTTTTCCTATTGGGCCACACTTGCGGCCGATCCAACTGCTTAAGCAGTCTAGCTCCGCATGTGCGGAAGTTACAGCCGCTCGAGCGCACAATGAGAGGCTGGTCCAGGCTTAATTCATGGGCGCTCATGCAGAGCCCATGGCCATACAAGCTGTCTAGGCTCACTTAGGCAGTCCAAAAATGACTCAAAGATGCAAACCTTTTCATCTCATTCCCAAGCCCAAATTCATGTAAAAACAACTCAAAAACATGATATATGAGCATGATACAAGTGTAATTCCACATTAAACAAATCAATCTTACATCAACAACAATTTCATGGACTCATCTTTTTCCCATATTCATACATTACATAAACAAGTTCAAAATACATAATCCATGAATAATCTTCCAACAAATCTTGTTTTCATAAATCATCTAGGGTTTGTTTCATGGATCAATCACGAGAGTGAACTTAAATCAAACAAAGATGGAGAGATTAGGATTCAATTTCATGCCTTTAGCTCAAGCCACCATATAACTCAAAACCTTAGCTCAAATTCCAATTTTCTTCTTGATTTGAAGACAAAGATGAGTTAGAGACAAAGTTTGTAAGTAATTTAACATACCTTAACTCAATTCTAAGGTTTGCCCCTTAATTTTCTTCAATCCCTAGCTTCCTTTTCTTCCTCTTTCTCTAACTCACTTTGTAGAGCTCTCAAGCAACCTTAAAGAACAATAGGGCTAAACACACATATATGACCCAACTCACAAAATATGATTTAATCATTACGAATCGTAATTTTTCAAAATTTCACCATAAGCTCTACAAATCATGCTAATCATAGATATGAAGTCGGTTTTTGTTTATCGCACCTCTAAAGCCTTCAATTTTAGTTCAAAGTTTCAATTGTAACAGATATTTCTACTTTCAACAAATATTTTTCCAAATTCACATATTTCCCGTACTTAAATTTGCAAATTCATATCAAACACATAATCACATGCATAATTAAGTATAGTACGGGTTAAGTTATCACAGTCCCCTAGCATACAAGGACCTTTCAAAAATGTCATCAAAACAAACATAGTACTTGATACAAAAACTAAGGGATAATCATTCATGCTTGATCAAATACTTTTCTAAAACAAAGTAAAGCTTTTATCCAAAACATTATAACATAACTTCATTAAAAATACCACTCACAATGGCTCTTCGATTGCAGAAATGAAGGCAAAGATCCAAGACCTACAAATGCATGGTAAATTCCATTGAATGCACTTCAAGAAGATAAGAAAAGATGCTCAAAGTTGGCTGTGCAACACAGACTCAAAACAAACTTCAAATGAGTAAAATAGATCTTGACATTTCTTCCCAAAACCTAGTCAAAACAAAGCAAAGCATGTTCTGGAAGTTAAACCAATGTTTTTCTTCTTGGAAAAGCATGCTAGTTACAAACCAGGTCCCAGAATGGATGCACAGAGATGAGCTTGGTTGAAATGGCCTAGCTGGGTGAACTCAGGGATCAAGGCCAAGGTGTGGTATCCCTGGCCAATATGTAGGTTGCCTGCCTGAGATGTTATAAGGTGTTGGCAAAGATGTATAGTGGTCGGCCTAGGTATATAGTGTTTAGCCTAGGTGCAAGTTATCTTGCAAGGTAGACCAAGGTGATATGCAATGCTTGGCCTAGGTATGAAAGTTGGATGAGAGTTGGTCTTGATGACCACACTTAGGGAATAATGAAGTCTGTAAATCTGGGTTTCCTTTTGAAGAACATGAATGCCAAAATCATGACTTCTTATTCAATATTCGATATTTCATGATATGAGTTTGAAAAGAAGAACCTAGGTACCTATACTTGAAGATTTCATGATAACAAACACAAAAACAAAAACTTGATACAACTTTTAGATCAAAACAAAGTTTTTCTTCAAAAACACAAGAACATCACTTTTTCTTTTAAAATCAAAAACTTTAAATCGATGTATGGCTCGTGAATCATGCTAAATCATGCAATGTGATCAAAATAACATAAATAACAACAAAGGTAGATCAAGAATCTAACCTCAAAACACAAATCAAGTGGTTCAAAGTCTAAGAATCAAGCTTGTAAAATCTAACTCCTCTAAGAACTTCTTCTTCTTCTTCCTAGAGTTTCTTTCTCTTCAAGATAAAGATATGGAAAATGATATGAGTTTCTCAACTACTAACAGACTAATACCCACTGTTGGGACACGTGGCATCATCTGGTCAAATCTTCTCAAAAAGATGTCTGAATGAAAGGACAAGAGTAAGTCAAAGTGTATACAAGAAGTAAGGTAGCATGGGTACTCTGACAAGAAGAAGATCTTGGATCAAAACATAGGTTTCGGACAAGTAAGGTCTTTCTTACTTCGGCTACAAGGGGGTTGCAGTTAGCCTATGTGTGACACACCTTGGCCTAGGTTATACAAGACACGGAACAAGGGTTGTTAGGTGTTGGCTAAGGTATACAATTCGACAAGAAGGTTCAATGATCAAAGATCTCAAATGCCTAGGTGATGCACACCTCGGCCAAGGTGTGAGGGTGGAGGTGAAGGTCAACCAAGATAGTTCCAAGATGGCCCTAAGTGTTATCTCTCAACGGCGTAGGTGTAAGAGGTTCAAATGTGTGATCTAGGTGAGGTAGCAAATGTAGGTAGCCTAGGTTCAGCACACAAGCATGGAACAAAACAGGAATATTATACTTAGACAAAATATAATAGCATCAAAACAAGACAGGATCCCACACTTAGACAAAATATCAAAGTTTACGAAATGCAAAATTAACAAACCAAAATCATGTAAATTTTCATGAATATGATTAAGGCAAAATAAGGGTTATAGACTTGATCATGGGGTTACGAATGTTCGATTAACTTAATTTTTTGCAATGACGACATACTCGACGAACTCGACAATACGAACAGTTCGAATTATCAAAATAAGCTCGGGATAAACTCCCATAAGCCCTCACAGCTGCAACCCCATTCTTATGTGTACAACCTCTACAACAAAATAAAAATATAAAGAAATTAAATTAAATAGAAAATCAAAACAAATAAATAAAATGTTTAAAAGTTGAATGCTTAATTATATACCTCCATTCAATATACAAAAATTCATTTTCAACAACTTTTACACATCATCATTGCTAAAAAAAAGTAAAACACTATTCATAATGTTGTGAGGGATTGAGTAGGTATCAAGTTATGCCAACCGAAATCCTGAAACAGAAGAACATGATAATTTCAATAATAATCACATTTCACAATTTTGCTCCCTCTAGTTTTTTTTTTTTTTTTTTTTTGCTTGCCGTGATTTGTTCTTGCCGTGTAGGTATGAAGTGAGAGATAATAGTAAATAAGTTATGGAGGAATTGCAATGTTTTAGGGTTAAGATGGATGTATTTAAATTGTAATATTGTAGGGTTTTGATATTGGACACTATGGAATGAGAGAAGTTAGGTAGCAAAGAGTATGAAATCGAAAGTTTATATTTTCTTTTTAAATGTCACAAATTATGGTATAACAATTAATTTTAAATTTGAGAACTTTTTTATTTCATATATAGATAAAACAACATATTTTCTTATAATGACGATTTCACTCTTATGTTATAAACTCAAACAACAAAATTTCATTGTATATTTATTCAGAAAAGGAATTTTGAGATTTTATTATTTTGATAAGAATATCTCCATTAATACTTCTATGGGTGATGGCAATAGAATTTCACTAATAACTATTAGAATCAGACAGTAAAATTTTAATGTGCAATTATTCTATAGAAATATCATTCATTTCATTTTTTGATAAATTTTTCCATAAATATTTTCAATGATAATAGTGATAGTAATAGTGATGGTACAGAAGGAGGCGGTGGAATTTTTTTATTTTTATTTTTGTTAGTAGAGTAATTTATTATTTTTAAACTTGACTTTTGCATAAATTTCTCCCATTCATTTGGGACAGTTTTACCAAGGTAAAAGAATTTTTTTTTTTTTTTTTTCATACAACTGTAAATTTTAAGGGTTTAATTATTAGACTATGACAGTAAAATTTTACTGTAACAACTATTAGCTTGGATAGTAAAAAAAAAAATTTTATCCAACATGAATCTTGTTTGATAAATTTTGATTACAGGTACAAAAATATAAATTTTATGGAGAACGAACTCTTTGATAAAAGCTGTTGCATTTTAAAATTTAAATTTAATTTCAAAATAGACTTCACACTAGGTAACAACCCACCCAGTGACTAATGTAAGCCTAATTTGGTCAATTGACTGATTTTATATTCGCGAGGGACGGAAGCTTCTATTTACACATCCACCTTCCCCTCTTTGCACACACTTCATAAAAATTATTTTTATTATAAATTTTTTTTCAAGTGAAATTACTATTATAGACATCAAATAAACACATTCGGAAGTTGAATGTCGAAAAATAATAAAAATTCGGAAGTCTACTTCCGAACCAATTGTTTATTTTCGGAAAGCTACTTCCGAACCAATTGCTTATTTTCGAAAATCTACTTCCGAACCAATTATTTATTGAAAAAGATGTGTAAAGAGGGAAATGGGTGTGTGTAAATAGAAGCTCCCGCGAGGGACCTAAGGAAGGAGATTTTAAAGAGATGTCCTTTCAACAATATAAAAGTTTCGGGGAGCTATGGCAAAATTCCCTACAATAAAATTATAAACGAAACTGCAATACTGGCAATAGGAAACCTTGGTGCAACTACAAGCATTTGCTATGCTGTTTCAAATGAATACATAAAAAGCAACCAATCTATTCATTTTTCTGCCAAACTTGTGAACATTTCCAAGGATTCTGGCTAGAACACTGAAAAGAAATTGTTTGATCGTCACCTCTTAAATATGAACTGGAGAATGCAAAATACCTGCAGTGAAGACCCATTTCTACAATATCTTCATCAGATCAGATTGCACATGCCATCAGAAGAAAGGGGGTGCTCAAAAACTACCGCTGAGTGGGAAATGAGATCATAGCTGCTGATTGAGATAAGGGTCCACAGGAGATTTCATATGTCCTGAAACGTCTGAAACAAAATTATTCAACCAGGAAGTGCTGCGACTTAGCCAACCAGTTTCAGTCTGCTCTTCTACTTCAAGCATGCTCGTAGGACATTTCCTCCACCAATATGTCAAGCCACCTCTTAGACATAAAATCCTTGATAGCTTCGGCCCCTCCACTGACAACCTCCTTGGGTGGAATTACAAGAGGATTTGCTTCCAAGTTGAGCTTGGTCAGATTGTCAAGCCGGCCAAATGTATCAGGAAGAGCATGGATCTGGTTGTTGCTGAGGTCAAGTTCTTTCAAATTGGTTAAATCACCAAATGTGTCAGGAAGTTCTGTCAGGTCACTGAAATTGCTGCTCAGATTGAGGGTCTCAAGGTTCGTCAATCTCCCAATTGCACGTGGCAGGCCACGGAGCTCATTGAAGTGCACATCCATGATGCGCAATGACTTCATCTCGCCTATAGAACTGGGAAGAGAACGGATCTTGTTCAGATGGATTAAAAGACTCTTTAGGTTCACAAGTTCATACCCGATGTTTGTTGGCAAGTAAGCAAGCCTATTGAAGCTTGCATCCAACTCCACCAATGACCTGGAATAGTCAAGAAAGCAACACTAGATAATCCAGGGGAAAGATGAGGCAAGAAACTTTTAAATAAATCAATTTTGTGATTAGCACTGGATAACCTGCATTGACAAATGCTGTCAGGCAAAGCAACAAGCTTGTTTCCAGAAACATCTAGAATCTTCAAATTAAGCAACAATCCAATAGAGTCAGGCAAAGACTCCAGAAGGTTGGAAGCAAGATGAAGCTCCTCAAGATTTTCTAGACCACCAATAGAATCAGGAATCACCTGTTTCCCTCCAACACAAACCGAATGTCAGGAAGAAAGTAAGCAAAACAAAACTCAATCAATTAATACTAATATAATAAATAGCCAATGAAGTTGGTATTACAAGGCCCTTCCAATTCAATTCTTTTCAAAAATGTTGACTCGTGTACCACTACAATCCACTTCCACTTGTGCAAACCAGGAAAACAACACAGATTTGAACAACAAAAAAAAAAACAATAAATGAAAGTGGAAGGGTGCAACCTGTTTAAACCATAAATAAATAAATAACAATAAAAAGAAAAATCATTAACAATTTTTTGGTGCAAAAATCACTAACACTTTGGGGACAGAGAAAGTGAAGCATGTGAAATTTAACAGGCAATACACTTCTATGCTTTGTTTCTTTTCTTTTATTCCCCTTTTCTCTTTATTTCTGTCAGCTGCAAAAATGACAATGCGTGTAGTTTATTATGGACAACAGGGCCCCGCTAAGCTAAAGAAAAATGAACCCTACTATCAAGTAAAAATAGTTTCAAGTCAATTACTAGTGAAAAACACACTCTCGTTAAATAAAAATATAATAAAAATTATACTTATCAAGACCACAAACCAATAATTTCAAACCCCAGCAAAATAATTGGCCAATTTACACCCTTACTTGAAACTAGTTTCTTTCCAAAGCTAGGGAGGTTAACTTGCCTAGTGCAATTATACCACCTTTATGAATGACAAACCAAATGGTCATTCAGCATATCCAGTGGATAGCTAAAGCCTAAAACAGTTGCCATTGCCAAAATTTGGCAGTTTTGAGCCAAAATTGATCTTTACTATGCTAATATTGGCACAAGGCTTGGCAATGCCTATAACCTGCCACATCATCTTTCCCAAAGAAAATACCCAATGACAGGCAACCAAAAACACACCCCCCGCCAAAAAATAATCCTCAATAGAAAAAAAACCTCAAAGAATATCATAAAAATATCAAAAATTAACACACAAGATCATAAAAATTATACTCATAAAAATAGTGAATGGTGGTTGTACAAAATGGCATTTGCACAAGGTGGAGTAACATTGCTAAAATTTGACATTTTCACACTGTAGCATGCCAAATTATAACTTTGGCATTGCCAAATTAGTAATGACCAATGGATGTAATATATGCAACAATAATACAGAATGGAAAGATATATAATTAACCACCAAAAATGTCAGAATATAATTTGTTACACGCATTATTTAAATGTGGCAATAAGATAATCAAATCAACATAACCTCAAACTACATAGGATTGGAGAATTTGAACAAGAAGAGAAGTAGGCCAAAACAAAACCGTAGGACATGTTGAACAGGAAAGCAATTGCACGCACATGCAAACTAGTGGTGTAGCACTATAAAATTCTTTAGGGGAACTTACGTGGAGATCCTAATAGGTGGACTTATTGCCCAATACGTCCTATAATAATTAATAGTGTTTTCCATCAAACACTATTAAAAAACATCATTAATTGTTAATTTCCAACGACAGATTGAAAATTGTTACAAAAAATGACACTCATTATAAGTTTTAGTGACAATTTAAAATAATCGTCATAAAAAAAGTTATTGATTTTCAACTTTTAGCGACAATTTAAAAAATTCAACATAAAAAAAGTTACTAATTGTAAGTTTTAGGGACAATTTATAAAAACTGTGACAAAAAAAAAAGGTCACTAATTGTCAATTTTTAGCGACATGCAAAAAATTGCTTCAAAAATTATTTTTAGCGACGATTTTATTATGACTTAATTTGCAATGGAACTTTATGGTAATTAAGTTCAACTATTAGGGCCTATTGGTAGTTTACCCAGTTCTTCATAAATAAAATGGCAATTCGGTAACCTAGTAGGCATGAAGATATGGAACCAACAGCTAACCAATACACGATCAACAAAATGGAGGATCACGGCTGGTAATGTCGTGAGAGAGCGAAGCAAAGTACCAGTGAGCTTGAGAGTGGAGGAGCAAGTGCCTCATGCACATAGTATCATTGATGCAACCTTTGAGTTCGTGTTGGGAGTTCCAATAAGAAATCCTGCAAATCACTGCTCTCTTGCGGCCGTGGAAGTAGGTGTGGATTGGGGTATTTCAAGTTACCATGGATATGGATTGGGGTGTTTTGGGGCAACAGTGGAGTTCGAGATTTTTAGGGATGGTGGAGGTGTATTGGGGGATTTACGATTTAAGGATTTGGACAGCTGTCATAGTGGGGTTTTTGTAACACCCCGAATAATGCTAATTTAGGGATGCTAATTTTTGTAACGGTAATTAATATTAAGCACCTTAAATGCCTTAAACCAAAATTTAGCTATTTGATTATATAAAATAATTTAATTAATACTTGAAAAGGGAAATAGTGAATAAGTTGTGTACACATGAATCCCTTGTTAAAATAATCATTAACATATATAACAATATTTAATTGAATTTAAGTACCTAAATTATCAAGGAATATAAATGTAAATTAGTGAATATAAAGAAATTGGAAATGAATACAACTTATTAGGAATGTGAAGGAATACATGTGTCAAAAATTATAAGACACGGGAAAATCAGATCAATTTCAAAGCCTTTGTATAAATTTTGATGGATTAAAATTAAGTTAAGGGATGACTTCGAACTTGAAATTGAATTGATTAATCACCATATAAATATTAATTGAAAAGTTTAATAACATTAATTTGATGTGTAGAATATTTTGGGTACTTTCTCAAGAAATGAATCAAAATTAACGAAATTAAGATTAAATTAGCCTAATCGAAATCAATTTAGTAATGGAAATCAAGAATTATTCTAATAGAAGGGAGCTAGACATAATTAATTAATTAGAGTTCATATGTTATTTGTAATATTTGCATACTGATTCGTTCAATAAGAAGATTTTATTTTGAATCAGAAATTGAAAGCCGAGATGATTTGAGAAATCAAAATTGACGAGCTTAATCAGTTTAGTTTAATATTTAGAGCCTTTTGGGAGTTTAATTAAATATTTGATTCAGATTAGCAAAATTAAGATTTGATTAATTAAGCCTTCATTGATATTAATTTGATTAATTAAGTTATGTGGTAATCATGATTAGTTAGGACTAAGTTAATTAAAGACTAAACATAATTAATTAAGCCTAATCATTGATTAATTAAGTTGATGAGAAATTAGTAAATTAATCCAATCCAACTCAAGTTAATTAAAATATTCGTGAAAGTTCTAGAGAATTTGAGAAAATTCTTAAACCTTCACGTTTTATGTTTATGAGTGTGTACATGAGGAGAGAGAGTAGGCAACTTCATTTTATATTTTTGCTGGAGGGTTCAAGTATAGGGGTATGAGTATTCCTTCTTTGTGCTGGAGCATTGAGTTCAAGAACTCTAGAGAGAGAGAGAGAGAGAGAGAGAGAGAGAGACCAAGAGATTGAAGAAAATATTGTGCTAGAAATTGGAAGAAGTAAACTCAAGAATTCAACAAACCAAAGCTTTAGGTAAGAAATTAAAGTTCAAATCTTGTAGATAATTTACTTAAAAGCTGAAATCAAGAAATAATTGGGTTCAATTTCATATAATTAGAAAGAAATTAGCAAAGAGATGAAGAAATGAAATTAGGCTCAAGTTATGGAAGTTAAATTTGGAAATTAATTAATTTGGGTTTGATTTTGAATGTTTTGCATGAATTTTAGTTTAATTTTTCATATTCTTCCTAAATTTGAAGTTCATCCTCACATGCATCATAGAATTTAAGGTTTTGGAACTTTAATTTATGTTTTAAAAAGTTGATGAGTTTGATTTGGGTTTGACATGAAGAGAATGAATTAAATCTAAATTTGGACAAATTAAAAAATAAATTATGATTTGAGTTTGACAATCAAGAATTGGATTGATTTTGATCTTAATTTCATGCATGCAAATGTTTTCCAAGCATTATACAATTTCAATTGCAAGTTTTGACATGCAAATTTTTTTTTAAAAAAGCTTTATAGCTTTAATTTCATGTTTTGTAAGAAAAAAATGAAGAAAAGTTTTGAAATCATTGTATTCATAGAGTTTGATTCTAAGTTTTGGTAAATTAAAGGAGTCATAATGTAATGGTTTGAAATTGATTATGTGTTCTTGAATCCTAAAAGATTACATGTTTTTGGTTAAGACGTGCATTGACTCAATTTTTGAAATTGTGTTTAGAAACCATTTTTCATGATTTTCGGAACCCGAAAAAATTGCAAACCACTCACACAATAAAGTCAATACTCGAGCGAACATCGAGGTCATTCAGAATCTGTTCTTGCAGATCAAAGTACAAAGGAGCCGAGGTCAACACTCAAGTGACCAAAGATTCGCTCGAGCGAACTATTCTATTTCAACATATTTTGAAAATTTGTTTTACGTCCATATTTTCGTTCTCAATTTTTTTCTGAGCAATCCTAGACGTGATTTAAGCCTTGAGAAGGAATAATAAGTTAATAACCAACATAAATTAATTGGTTAATGAAGCAAAATAAGAATTCAGTTTATTTGGGAAGAAAAGATAAGAGAAGTAAGATTAGATCAAGCAAATAATGTTATGTTTCTATGTGTATGTTTGTATGCAATGTGTAGGTTGAACCACCAAGGATAGCATCCGACCAAGTCACAATGAATAATAACTTTGTAAAGATATTTTCGTAAAGTTATTTTGTAAAATATTCTGATACGATATGTTTTCTGAAATTATATTTTGATATGAATGAAGGAGTTTTCCTTTTGATAATTTATTGTGGCACCTTTTAATGAATTCTCTATGAAAATTATATGTTGGACCTGAAGTCGTTCTGTCTTATCTGTTTTAAGTTGGACCAGCAATCGTTTTGTACAGTTGTTATATATTGGACCAGAGATCGCTCTACTATACGTTGGACCAGAAGTCGTTCTGTACAGCTGTTGATTAGTGGTCATTCTGCCATGTATTGGACCAACGATTGTTCTGCTATATGATGGATCAGAGGCCGTTCTGCCAGGCTTAGATTTGTTTAATGCTATTAGATGAATCACATAATTTGTTAAACTTATGTACAATTTATTTTTGAATGATGTTTTGAATATAATAAGAATGTTTTCTAAAATTTGAAACTCATTCATTAACCACTTTACATTGTTATTACTCATTAGGCATTAGCTCAACCCCTTCCTCTATATATATGTAAGTAAGCATCTAGAAGATCGGCATTAAAGTTTGTTTTGGAGTCCGCCCTTATTTGTCAAGTCACCCAAGGATGTGCCTCCGTGATGAGGCTTTAGCTTTTGTTTATGGCCAAGCTTTGTTAAGCATCATTTTGTTATGATTTGTTAAGCTATGTATGTGATCTTGGGTTATGTAGTAGATGAATGTTTGTATAGAAATTATAAGTGTATTATGAGATGTTTTAAATATTTCCGATCATATCCCGTATGCACTGCTCAATGGACAATATTATTTCTGTTTTGCTTCTGCTTCAGGCCCCAATATTATTTAAATATTTCAAAATTTTGTCTTTGAGGCCGTAAGTAATCCATGATTAGTGGCTGGTCACAGCTCTAACCTCAAGGAGCGTGGGGGTTGGAGTCGTGACAATTTTAGTGCAGGGTTGTCATGGTGGTCACAAGAGGAGCAGAAGGGGAAAGTGGAGTTATAATAGAGTAGGAACATAGGGCCGAGAGAGAGAGAGAGAGAGAGAGAGAGAGAGAGAGAGAGAGAGAGATTGGGTTGCTGTTGAGGAGGCTCTAGTGCAACAAGATTCTGGTAGGGGTATGAAAAAAGAGCTGAATAAAATGAAAATAGGGTAAATTACACTAACCTCCCTTGAGGTTTAGAGAAAATACAGTAAATTCCACAATTTTGACATAATTAATTTTGCTCTTTTGAGATTTTAATTTATATAACAATTAGCCCATTTTTCATCAATAATTTGTTAGCTATATAGATGAAAAAATTATGTTGTTATCTCTTTTACATTAAATGTGTACTTTACATTGTTTTTTTGTGTTTTCACATCATTTGGATTAGTTTTGATCCATTTAGGGGTTGTTTGGGATGACCTAAATAAGTGTACTTTTTGTCTTTTTACAAAAAGATATGCAGAAAAGTAGAGAGATGATGTGATTAAAAAAAGATAAAAAAATAAAGTGTGTACTTATTTAGGATAGCCAAACTTGGCCTTAATTTTACACAAAAAGAAGTTACTATAATTATGTCAAAACTGTGAGGCTTACTGTATTTTTTCCAAATCCAATTTACCCATGAAAATATCACAAGATTAAAATTGTAAAACACAACTTTTTGTTAACATCGTTTGTCCAACAATACTGACAAGGGAGGTCAATGTCATTTCAAAAACCTCATAAAAGGTCTATGTAATTTACCCTTGAGTAATTCTACTTACACCACAAAATTATCTCTTACACTCTAAAATATTAAATTTTTATTTTATTTTTTTACAATTTTTATAATTCCAATTTTACCCTAATTTCTACATTGACTCTTCTCCTTACACCTAAATCTTTCAAACTTCTTCATCTCCACCCCTTCACTACCACCTCCACCAGCCCACCACCATCACCGCCAATCCGCCACGACTCCACCACCACACTGGTTCGGTCACTAGCAATCTCGGTGCTTCGGGTCTCATGGCCTACTCCATTGACAAACGGAACCCTATCCTCCCACGGTTCAATACCCAAATCATATAAGAACAAAAATATGAACAAATCATGTAAGAAGGAAGATTTAAGAGAAAGAGAGACAAAGATACCAAACAAAGACAAAGATATGGAGTTTTAACAATTCAAAACAAAAGCCCAAAATTTTTTTAAGCAAATACATAGATAGAGTCGGTTTTGTTTCATAATTTAAATCAACACATCCTTTATATATATATAGAGAGAGAGAGAGAGAGTGAGTGAGAGTGAATATACCAGAAGACTATAATTTTTATGATCAAAGAGTGTAATGGCAATGGTGAGATTATGGAGTTAATGGATACGAATGACTACATGTAGGACCCTCGTTACAGTTTTCTTTTGATGTGTTTAGCTAAGTTGAGCATGGGTTCTTTGGCATTTTCAGTATATCAAAGAATGGTAGATGATGGGTTTGTTATTGGGTTGTGAATTACGGTGGTGGGCTGGTGGAGGTAGTGTGATGGGGAAGGAAGAGAAGAAGGATTCGTGTAGTCGACCACATTTGATGGGACTTGAGGCTTGGTTTGGTTTGGTTTGGTTTGGTTTAAGGAGATAGTTTTGTGGTGCAAGTAGAATCACTGTTTACCCTTTCCTTATTGGTCTTGCATTAGTTAAGAAACTTACTTGGTTGTTTCCTAGATTGCATTAGGTTTGTCTTTTATTATAAATAACTATGGCCCTTCAGTTTTGAGCAAAAATACAGAATTCATTTGAAGTCTCAACCATTTTCCTACAATTCTGGTAAGGTTAGAATTCAAAAGGTTTGTAGAATTGTTGGGTTGCTTCTACCATCTCATACGCGTTATAACTAATGCCTAAAGCCCTTAACCACCAACCAATAAGATCATTGTTTCATACTATATTAGTAAGGGAAAAACAAATTACCCCCAACACTTCCAGCGATGCAGAAATATCCCAGTACTTGGCAGCGTCAGACAAACACCCTCCACTTATAATTAGTCACAATCACACAACCATAATACAGTTTAACATATGAGAATAAAACAGAGTAAGAGACAATTAGTAGTGTTTAGTTAAAGTGAAGTGGAATGGAATGATGCATTACAAGTCGAATCATGGTTTACCATTTTTCACTATTTTAAGAAATGTCCATTTCATAGGAAAGCTTAATGAATCACCATTTCATTGCATTCCAATAACTTAAATTGAGCATTTAGGGGGCTAACCTGAAGTTGATTGGAGGACAGAATAAGCACAACTAACCCACGAAGGCTACCGAAGGCCTCTGGAAGCAGACGTAACAGACGCCCTGAAAGATCAATCCTCTCAATCCCCTTCCCGGATGATGCTTCTTGCAAAATCCCAACCACCTCCTCATTCACCTCCTCCACCACCTCCCTTGAACCATCACCATCATACTCCTCTACATCACGGCCGGCAACAGCCGCCTCATAAATCTTCACCAACCTAGCCTCCGCATCCTTCACCAGCTTCTCGTAAGCCTCGTGCATTTCATCCAACGAAATCACCGCCTTGTAAACCTGTCTATCCTTCTCAGCCGAGTCCCGGAGCTCGGGCGAAAACACGATCTCTTCGTGCTGTTTCGAGAGTTGGGACTCGATCTCGAAGAGCTTGGCCTTGGCGGTGTCGACAGCCTCGTGGTCCGGTCGGTCGCCAAGGGTTTTGAGGATAGATCGGGCTTGGGCGACATCGGAGACCGCAGATCGCATGGAAGCGATGATTTTGGGGTCGGTTAGCTGGGGCATACGGTCCTCCAAGTCAAATGATGGTTCCTTGGAAGTCGACGCATCGGACGAGGACGGTGGCCGTGGTTGCTCGATGTCGAAGTCCATATCAGCGGCGTGTCTGGGACTCATACTGGGGAGTTTTGACATCACATATGAGAGAATCGGGAAGCTCTTGGGGTTCGGATCCATTACTATACTCCAACACAACACAGGTCGATTGGATCAATAATATTCGTGTGTGTATATATATATATATATATATAGAGAGAGAGAGAGAGAGAGAGAGAGGAATTCAGAAGCTTTGGCCGGAGTTTGAAGGCATCGCTCAACGAGGAAAGTAGTTGAGAATGAAGAGTGTGCGTCGTGGATAAACGAACGAGGGAGACTTTTTGGCTCGTCTCTGCTTCGTTTTGTTTTCGTTCCGATCCTATTCATTCGGATCGGGCGAAAGACTAGGTACCGATTTATAATTGTAGATAAAAAAAATTATTGGGTAAATTTCATCGACCGATGGAGGTTTGATCTAATTATTTTTTGTTCATGTGGTTTTGAAAATTATATTTTCATTCTTATAGTTAATAGTCTTATTGTATAAATTTTTACTTATATAAAATGTAAAAATTCTTAATAAAAAAATAGAGAAAATTACATTAAAAAGGAAAAAAAAAAAAAGAAAGTAAAGCAAAGAAGAAAAAAAGAGAGTGTATGAGTTCAATATCTTCATTCCGTCTAAACAATTACAATGACAAGAGGGTTAGTGTAATTTCTCAAACGTTAGGGGTGATATGTATTAAACCCAAACCTCAAGGGGTGTAAGTGTAATTTACCCAAAATTATATAATTTTCTATATATATATATATATATATAATTAAATATAAAAAATCATAATTAAAATCTTAAAATAATATTATAATTAAAAAAAAATTACATAACTAAACAGATATATGATATAAAATGTTTATAAAAAAATTACATAACTAAACAGATATATGATATAAAATGTTTATAATAAAATTCTTCTTGAGATCAATAGCAAACTAGTTTGCTTTACATGGGTCAACCTTACCATCTGAAAATAAATAAATAAAAATGGGTCAGCTTTGTACGTATCGCTGGTAGCATATGAATTTGTTCAGATTAGAAAAAATTGCCGGCGTATCAATATCAATTACATGTATTTGTTTTTTTTTTTTTTTTTTTAAGTTTTCTTGGTGTTGTGCATTTTCAATACAGAGATTAAGGGATTAATCTAAGAAAAATTAGAATTTAGTCTATATGTTAAAATTTTTTACAAACATTGATATTCAAAATTATAATTTTTTTCATGAATTTATAATTAATTTTTGTAAGCAATTGACATGTCGATTTTTCATTACTTTATCTATATTTCATGAATTTATAATTAATTTTTGTAAGCAATTGACATGTCGATTTTTCATTACTTTATCTATATAAAGTCTAACGATTAGTATTTTTTTTGAATAATGAAATGCTTTTAAATATGAACAATTTTTTGCTAGTTCTATTATAAATTACGAAACGTTGTTAAAACTTAAATTATTCAAAATATAGTACGTTATATTATTGATCTAAAAATAAAAATTTGTATAGTTTTATATTAAATTTTAGATAAATTACAAATACACTTTTTAAAGTTTGTTTAAAATGTAAATTACTCCTTTCGTTCTGAAAATTACAAATATACTCTTGTCAAAATTTGTTATTTAACAAAATTGATAGAAAAAATAAAATACCTAGTTACCTTCCTATACAACAATAAAATTACTAAAACTATTAATTGAAATATATTGCTAACATCATTAGAAATTGTTAATTAACTTAATGGTTGAGCAATGAGAGAGATTATTTATTATGCGATTAAAAATTTTAAGCTGTGATATTTAATTTTCAGAACCACATGAAAAAATTAGAATTTTAAGTAAATCTCAAATAATGTATTTGTAATTTATTCTTAAATTCTTTACCTTTAAATTGCATTGAATTTATTTATCACAAACAAAAGTTTCTATTAATTACCATTAAATTTTTCTACATTTTTTTTTTCATTTTAAAACGGGAGATTCGGCCGTAAGCCCCTCACATCCAAATTTTATAAAGACATCTTCATAAGCTTTCCTGCCGCAAGTCCTTCTGTAATACTTGTGTTCTTTATGGTGTCTTTGGTTGGGAGATTTGGAAAGAAATTTGGAAAGAGAAAGGGAAATGTGTGTAAAACTATGTGAAATATAGGCATGATTTATTCACATTTCACCTACCTTTTCCATTTCCCTTTTCAAATCCCTTTCCAAATGTCATTGGAAAATGGATTCAATTCTATTACTTTTCTTTTTTGGGATTTTTGGGATTGGTATATCATTATATTAGAGGAGTGAAATACGATCTAAACTTGCCAAATGTTCTTTACCTCTTAGTTTTGTTAGGAAGTGCCTTGGGAACCTTAAAATTTTGTTCTTAGTGTTGACACTAGGCTCCTAGGGTCAACACCTACCTCTTTCTCTTTTCTCCTTTTTGTTTCTATTTTCTGGTGTCGACACCACTCCTTCTAGGTGTTGACATCGCACGACCTGCTTGTTCTTTGTGCTACTAGTTTCTGGGACTTCTAGTGTCAACGCCCCTTCTATTGGTGCAAACTCAAGTGTTTCATCACAAATTCTAGGTGTTAACACCCCTTCTATTGGTGTCGACATTTGACAGTAAAATTCTGAAATTTCACCACGGGTTGGGCCCTACTTTTTACGATTTTTAGCTTATTCTTTTAGTTGACTTTGGGGCTAATATTCTATTATTATAGCATTATAAATAGAGCTACAATTCTTTCTTTTTTCTCACTTTTCTTTCTATTTTCTCTCTCATTTCTCTCCCTATTTTGTACGACACCACCATTTCTCTCTAAACTCTAGCTTTTCACACTAGATCATCAAATATAACGACTTGGTCATCTCGTCATCTTGCTCCTTTGAGTTAAAGTGTAGAGCTTGTTAAGGACTTTGTTCTAATCGAAGCACACACCATTTCACCACTTTCAACTTTTGGTGATTTTCTCCATTTGTCCTCTTTGCTTTGAGGTCTTAATGATTTATATGTTATTTAGCTTTGTTATGTGCTATGTTAGATAGCAATGAGATTTGAGAAAACTATTATAACAACCCTCATTTTTTGTCTTAGTTATATTCATGAGAATTTACATGCTTTTGGTTTGTTAAGCTTACATTTTGTAAACTTGGATTTTTGTCTAAGTGTGGGATCCTGTCTTGTTTTGATGCTATTGTATTTTGCCTAAGTATAAGATCCTTGTTTTGTTCCATGCTTGTGTGCTGAACCTACGTCAGCTACCTTTGCTACCTCACACATTTGAACCCCTTACACCTAGGCCATTGATCGACAACACCTAGGGCCATCTTGGAACCATCTCAGCTGACCTCCATCTCCACCCTCGCACCTAGGCCACGGTATACATCACCTAGGAATCCGAGATCTTTGATCCTTGAACCTTCTTGCCGAGTTGTGCACCTTAGCCAACACCTAGCAACCTTTGTTCCATGACTTGTGCATCCCTAGGCCGAAGTGTGTCACACCTACGCCAAGTTTTACCTCTCCTAGCCGAAATCAGGAAGACTTCATCTAACCTTCACTTGTCTAAATCCTACTTTTTGAGCCAAGATCCCTTCATTGCTAGAGTATCCATGCCACCTTGTTGTATACAATTTGACCTACTATTGTCCTTTCATTCGGACACTTTTTTTAGGAGATTTGACTAGATAATGCCACATGTCCCAGTAGTGGGTATTAGTCAATTAATAGTTGAGAAACCCATATCATTTGCCATATCTTTGTGTTGAAGAGAAAGAAGTTCTAGAAAGAAGAAGAAGAAGAAGTTCTTGGAGGAAACTTGATCATTAGCCTTTGAACCACTTGATTTGTGTTTTGAGGTTAGATTATTGATCTACTTTTGCTTTTCTTTATGTTAATCTGATCACATTGCATCATCCAGCACGATTCATGAGCAATGCATTAATTTAAAGTTTTGTTTCAAAAAAAAAAAAAAAAGTGATGCTCTTGTATTCTTAAAGAATAACCATGTTTTGATCCAAAACTTTGAAACAAGTTCTATGTTTTTGTGTTTGTTTTCATGAAATTTTCAAATATGAGTACTGTAGCGACCTTAATTTTTCCTTAAGTCATTATCTATTATTATTATTATTACTTTATTTTTTATTGCTTTATTAATTGCGCGAATACATGAGAATTTAATGTGATATTTAATTATATATAATTAATCCATATATATATATATATATATATATTCATCTTATATATATCAAAGGTGTTAGGGTGATAATAGGAAATTAGATTTTATAGTAAATTAGGTTATAATAGTTTTGTCACTAGGAGAAAAAAAAAATAGAGAGTGCGCAGCCAAGAGAAGGAGAGAGAGAGAGAATGAGAGAGAGAGAGAGAGAGAGAGAGAGAGAGAGAAACCCTGTGATTAGGGTTTTGAAGCCGCAGCAGCAGCAATCACAAGGAGAAAGAGGATAGGAGAGAGGAAAAAAGGGGTTAGGGCTTTATTTTGGTGGTTTCATTAATTCTCCAAGTATTTCTTTGATCTTCGAAAAATAATTGTGAGTGCAAAACTCACTTTCCTTGGTTTATGTTTATTTTTTTTGTTTTTATTTATTTATTTTTCTTTATTTGATGTTGGTTTGATATTGGACTTGCATGTAGATGATGGATTGATTTCAACTATTTTGGTTAGTTGTGTATGCAAGGTTTAGGGTTTATATATATATATATATATATTATTTTATGGTTGTAATCGCACTCATGGATATATGAAATTAAAATAAACTAAGAACACATAGATAAATTCCAAATACTCTACCATGACTCCATGAATTGTTGTTTTATTTGAGTGCTGGTGAGAAAAATTGTACCAAAAAAAAGTGAGGATTATGAGATTTATTTGAATGCCTTAGGCTTGGCATTGTTATGTTTATTCTCATGAGTAGATGAGGGGCTGTGTATATATACATTGTTGCCTCATTCTCAGGAGTAGATGAGTGCTTTGATCTACATGCGTACGTATATAGTAATCGTCCGGGGAGTGTGGGTCAAACGCGAGATGATATCCCTAGGGCAAGTTTGGCTTCGGAGCGGTGTTAGGTATACGAGAGGCACATGGGATATATGTGTAAGCCAGAAGTGAAGGTCCAAAGTGGTGGAGTTAAGATACAAAGAATTAAATATGAGCTTATTGGTATAGTTAGAATGGTATTGATTTGTATATCTTGAAAAAATAGTAAACAACCTCGATAAATTACGAAATTTGGGCAAAGGTATGTATACGTAATTCTAAACAATTTTTGAATTTTATCTTTTTACTAAAAAGATCAATTAGAACTTGTAATCGGATAATTTTGCTTACAATA